AAAATGGCCGTTACCCTGCTGGTAAACCGTTCTTGTGTTTCCGAGTTTTATATTTTAAATCGCTATTATTTATTATTGAAAAACATATACAGGGTGGCCCAACGAAAACGTCGCACCCCCATTTGAGTCTCTCCTGGTATATTTTAGGAAAAACGATCGGATGCGTCAATTTTAATTTATAGGAGGATGTCATTTACACTTTAGATTTTTAAATGGAAACCTCCATTTTTTCATTTTTAGATTTGCCATGAAGTTTTTAGTAACTTTTGTATAATAAAGTTTATGCCTATCTTCAATTAACTTAACATAATACTGAGAATAATGGAATGTCCGGCAAAAAATTATAATCATGGATACCAGCAAGAACAGTCAGTGTCCTCGTATGTCATAGAAAAACTTTATCTTTCAATTTCAAATTGACTTATTCAATTCAAGAAAGGGTAGAAATAACAAAACTGTATTACCAAAATGGGAGCATTGCACGAGTTACTGTCCGGTTGTTTAATGCGTTACATCCAGACAAAAATGTTAATGGTAAGTATGTGGTTAAGTTGATAAGAAAATTTGAAGGTACTGGATCTGTGTATAATGTTCGCCGTAATCGCCAGTTGGAAATGAAGCCGCAGTAGTTTTAGTCTTGGGGTATGTAGCACTTGACGACACCCAAAGCACTCGTGGACTGGCTACTTCTTCAGGATTTACACGTTCTATAGTACAAAGAATTTTGAAAGACAATAAATTTCACCCGTACAAGATAAAACTTGTCAATGAGCTTAATGAAGACGATTTTGATAGAAGGTTGAAGTTTTAATCAACAATGCAAATCTGTTATTTAATATTTGTTTCTAGGATGAGTGTACGTTCTAACGGGTGATTTTTTAAGAGGTATAGGATTTGATTTTCAAAAAAAACACAAAAAATTTGAAAAAACGATTAAATCCTTATTTGAGTCGATAGAACGGTCGATATAATTTAATGTTTTTTTTATTTCATGTAAATGTTGGCCGCGGCTCCGCTTTAGATGGCCCATGCGCAAGGTCCAATTTTGCCACACTCTCTCCAACATATCGGTCGGTATCTCACGAATAAATGCTTCAATATTGGCTTCCAGTGCGTCAATCGTTGCTGGTTTCTCCCTGTAGACATTAGCCTTAACATGGCCCCACAAGAAATAGTCCAACGGCATTAAATCACACGATCTAGGCGGGCAATTGACGGGGCCCAAACGTGAGATAAACTGTTTACCGAACTCGCCTCTCAATAGGGCCATTGTTTCGTGTGCGGTGTGGGATGTGGCACCGTCTCGTTGAAACCACATGTCAGCCAAGCCCAGCTCTTCCATTTTGGGCAAAAAAAAGTTTGTTATCATCGCACGGTAGCGCTCGCCATTCACAGTTACGTTCCGGCCATTGTCGTCTTTGAAGAAGTACGGCCCGATGATGCCACCGGCCCATAATCCACACCAAACAGTGATTTTTTCCGAATGCATTGGTAGCTCTTGCAATGTTTCTGGCTGGTCTTTACTCCAGATGCGGCAATTTTGCTTGTTAACGTACCCATTCAACCAGAAATGAGCTTCGTCGCTGAACACAATTTTTCGATAAAAATGTGGATCTTCCTCCAACTTTGCCAGCGCCCATTCACCAAATTGGAAACGTTGTGGGAGGTCGTGTGGCTTCAATTCTTGCACCAGCTGTATCTTATAAGGTTTTACACCCAAATCCTGTCGCAAAATTTGCCACGTAGTGGAGTAACAGAGGCCCAATTGCTGCGAACGGCGGCGAATCGACATTTCACGGTCATCACCAACACTGGCGGATACAGCCGCAATATTTTCTTCAGTCCTCCCTCTACGTCTGCGTGTTGGTGGTTTAATGTCCAATAATGTAAACTGGGTTCGAAATTTAGTCACAAGCTTCCGAATAGCTCCCTCAGTAGGCCGACCAAATTGCCCATAAATTGGAAGCAGTGCTCGATGCACTCTCTTAACCGAGCATGAATTTTGATAGTAAAATTCAATAATTTGCAAGCGTTGTTCGTTCGTAAGTCGATTCATGGTTAAATTATAGACCAAACTGAACGAGTTTGACAACGACACAAGACACGATTCACGCGTCATCTGTCAAAAACAGTGTTGCCAAAAAGATACTAGCAAAAAAATCACCCATTATTTACATGGTGCTGTAAATAGACATAATTGTCGATATTGAAGTGACTCAAAGTCATATTTGTTTCGAGAGGTACACTCGCAATATCCTGAAAAAATAAATGTGTGAGCCAACATTTTCGGAAATCATATTGTAGGACATGTTAGAAAATACAGTAGTGTTACGAATTACACTGGACAACAAATTTTAGTTTTTTAATTGTATCTTGTGGGAAAAGTGCACTTCTTTGTTAATTTTGGGGCGCTGAATCCAAAAATGACAATGAAATAAAAAAATTAATTGCGGTTTAGAAAAAAACTTTTTATTTTTAAGGATATATTAAAAAAAGTAACAAGATTCATATACTTATAAGGATCACTATATGCGCTGTCTTTTTGCTGTTCTTTTATGGATCGTTTCTGGAGCATCTCTACCAAGAGTCCAACAGTAGTCTGCAAGCATGGAAAGATTCCACTTTTCCTGGTACCTTTTTTCCATTGTGAAAATATCCTGATGAAAACGTTCGCCGTGCTCATCACTTACGGCTCCGCAATAATTGTCAGGAAAAAAGTCCAGGTGTGAGTCTAGGAAATGTATCTTAAGAGACATATTACAGCCCATCTTTTGATACGATAACAGCATATTTTTGACAAGGGTTTTATTGTTGTCAGCTTTTCTATTTCCCAAGAAATTAGTGACCACCAGACGGAAATCATTCCAAGCAGTTTTTTCAATACCTGTTAAAGTGTTTTCAAACTGTGTATCTTTCAAAATATTTCGAATCTGTGGCCCAACAAAAATACCTTCTTTAACCTTTGCCTCACTTAGTCTTGGAAATTTCTGACGCAGGTATTGAAACGCTGACCTATCTCTATCTAATGCCTTGACAAAGTTTTTCATTATGCCCAACTTGATATGCAGGGGTGGTAATACAATTTTTTTCGAATCTACTAATGGCATATGCTGTACATTTTTTTGACCTGGCTCTAGGAATTGACGAACAGGCCAGTTTTGTCTGGTGTAATGAAGTGCCTTTGCCCGACTGTCCCATTCACACAAAAAACAGCAAAACTTTGTGTAGCCTAGCTGCAGCCCAAGTAAAAGTGTAACAACTTTCAAATCGCCACAAATATGCCATTGGTGCTCATCGTATTTTATGCATGTCAATAGGTACTTCATATTGTCATATGATTCTTTCATGTGAACTGCATACCCTACAGGAAGAGATGGTAAAGTATTTCCAATATGCAATAACACTGCCTTTAAACTCAATGTTGAACTGTCTATAAACAATCTCCATTCTTCTGGGTTATAGTTTATATTTAAAGCCAAGTTATTCTCCATATTGAAAAATGGTTCTAAGTCTTTGTGGCGTTGACGAAAAACACATGCCGAAACATCGTCTTCTAACAAGTTCCACTGCTGCAGTCTTGATCCAAGTAACTCTGCCTTACATTTTGGAAGTTCTAAATCTCTTACAAGATCATTTAATTCTGACTGTGTTATTTTGTGCGGTTGGTGGCATGACGTGCTCGGTATAAAATCAGGATCTCTTGACGTTGATGGCATATCTTCTTCCTGACGAATCACTCGATCGCCATGATCTGATTCGTTTTCTGATTCGCAAGTGTAGGATTCTGGGGGTTTTACAATAGGATTTTCGTCACTGTGCACAGGTCTCATCGCAGATGGTATGTTTGGGTAGTTAATAACCGATTTTTTTTCTTGGACATACCTGTGGCTTGTCCAACACAAGGTACCATGCAAAAGTAACAATCATTAATATGATTTGTAGGCTCTCTCCAAACCATTGGGACAGCAAAGCGCATAGACCGTTTTTTGCCATATAACCAGCGCCTCAGACTTGAAGCATATGTATTACAGCAGATGTGGGGTGCCCACTGTTTGTCTTGATCACCTAGTTTACAACCGAAATAAAGCTGATATGCCTTTGTTATTAGTGGAGTAATAGACCGTCTCTGAGACGCAAAAGTCATATCACCACACACGTAACAAAACTGATCTGGATTGTTTACACACTTTCGAGACATCTTGCATGAACGCTGTCAGCCAACTGAGGAAAAAATGGCTAATATAAAACAATATAATGTACACGTATGTATAACGTAACACAATCATGCCGATTACATCATCTTTCCTTGCCGAATATAAAAATGTAGCACGTGCATTCTTGTGAATTACAGTATATTAACACTGTCACAGCAGGGACACATATAATTACCGTATCTCTAAAACTTGAACTAATATTGAAAAAATAAGTTTCATTCCGGTTTTAGCACATTAAAAATAGTAATATTTTGTTGATTTTGTTTGGGATATTTTTTGGCTGTTGATCAGTGTTACCGAAATAATTTGTTTTGTGGTTTTTTAATACTCGGAGACTTCTTTTTAATTTTAAATTTTTGTTACTATGGTAACTATATTGATTATTGTTTTTACGATATAATAACAAAATTTGGAAATCTAAAGTGTAACGCAATATCTCATTGTTGGATCACCCTGTATTGTACGCTTTTAGATGAAAATACGTCCTCCTAGAAATTAAAATTGACTTGTCTGAGTGTTTTTTCCAAAATATACCGGGAGACAAATAGGGGCCACCCTGTATATGTTCTGCTGCTAATAGAATGCAACTCAGCCCCTTTTTCGACCCCAAAATACCTATAGATCATTTAGAACCTTTAAATTAAATAAACACCCAAGTTACTGGATAAAAGGTGTATAAATCATTCTAATATATTCTAAATTTGCTAGGCAGTAAACTTGATCGTTGATAGTAAACCAGACTGTAATAGTAGATGCAATTTATAAATAATTATTTTGGAATCATACCTCAATTGATAAAAGCGGTTTCGCTAAGGCACAACAGCTTAAAGTAAGCAGGAAACAAATCGAAGCGTGAAACATAGTGTCAAGTAGTGGGTTAAACGATACGTGCTACATATAAATAGTTATAGGAACCAAAAGTAATTGGTAGATATCATGAACCTCTTATTAGAAGATTATGCATTTAGGATAATTACTAAGAAAAAAAATATGTTTCGAATTACAGAATTACACAGTTTGTTAAATAATTACACACTCGGTTCAGGAGAGAATTTTACTAATCACGAAAGTTCGCTTCACTCGTGTTCATCGAACAACCTTTTTGCTTTTCGCTTATCTGCGGGGCTGGGTAGATGACCGCATTGAGCTGCTTATCCATGGACTCAAAGGATCGCGGCTAACTTCGAGACATTGATGTTGTGTTCGTCTATATCATTGATTCTCAAAGTGGTCTATATCGACCCCTAGGGATCTATGACAACCTGCAAGGGGTCTATGTCAGCGAAAAAAAATTTGGGGGTCCATGAAATGAATATGGGGGTCCACGATAGTGGATATCAACACATACACTGATAGTACCTATTTACTTACATCATACTATCTTTGATATCGAAACATATACATTATTTATAAAAGTACCTATGAAGTAAAAAATTTAGTATATATGTTTATAAAATTGTGTAAGTTGTAGGATGTTGGTATTCGCTTTGTGGTCGCAATACATTTTGAACTTGTAAAAACCTGAGAGTCGCAGTCTCAGAGCTTCACTACCTTGCACTGACTTGTTCAATTCGTCACTATATAAATACGAATGTGGGACAAATACGTTTATTCGTTTCCTGAATCTTGAAAAGGAAAGTGCTAAGAAAATATTTAGAAAATATAAACAGATAGTATATATATATATAATTATAGTGAGTCAGTGTTATTTTGTTTGAGAGTGCTGGAGAAAAGTAAGTACATTATTTTTTATTAAATTTTAGTTTTATACTCGTAGTTAGCAAAGATAGATAAATTACGCCAATCATGACTTTAGTTATTAGTAGTTAAATATTCAATCATGCAAAATTACACGAGTACTCCTCAATAGTTTCTTTTTGAAAGTTTTAGCAATCGGTAATATAATTACAGTGCAATCTCCGTAATTCGAGCTAATTGTTGCAAGAAGATGTTCGAATTATGGAATGTTTTCGGAAAAATCAAAAAATATTTTCAATATACAGCTGCTGGATTTTCTGTCTTATCTAAATAATTTAATTTTGCCCACAGATGAGTGATGCCATGTCCGAATCTAAAAAGAAATGTAGACAGTACAAGTGTTGATTATTTGAAATTTGGCTTCATTCCATCATTGCCGGACAAACAATCGCCTATGTGCCTTTTATGCAACAAAGATTTGGGCAATGACGCTATGAAACCATCTAAACTGCAAGATCATCTGAGAAGATGAAACCCTGATAAAACAGAGAAAGATTTGAAATACTTTCAAACACTCAAAGATAAATTTCAGAAGAGACCTACACTGCACATAATGTTCGCTTCGACGTCACAAAGAAATGATGATGGTTTGCGGGCGTCTTACAATATTTCGTTACTTATATCAAAATCCGGAAAACCGCATACTATCGGAGAGAAGTTAATTTTGCCAGCCGTTGAAGAAGTTTTAAAAACTGTTTTACACAAACCTGCATCTGATAACATTAAAAGAATTCCCTTAAGCAACAATACTGTTGAAAGACGTATTGATGAAATGAGTTCTGATATTGAAAGCTTCTTATGTAATTATTTGCACACGACCCATTTCTCAATACAACTGGATGAGTCAACTTTACCTGATAATGCAGCATTATTATTGGCGTATGTTCGTGTTATTATGAATCAAGAAATCTACGAAGAACTGCCCTTCGCAAGAACTTTGATAGCCGACACTAAAGGTGAATCAATATTTCATTTTTTGAAAAAGCAATTAATTTATCAAATATAATATCAGTAGCTACAGATGGAGCACCTGCCATGGTTAGACGTTATCGTGGATTTATAAGCTATTTAAAACAAAATGTGTCAGGGGTGTTAGCAATACATTGCGTCATCCATCGACAACATTTAGTTGCTAAAAATTTGAGTGTTAAATTGCAGGAATCACTTCATTTAGTCATTGATGCAGTGAACCGAATCCGAAGCAACGCGTTGAATACGCGGTTATTTGCTATTTGCGCAGTTGTGTGAAGAAAATGACGAACACTTTCATCAATTACTCCTTCACACTGAAGTACGCTGGCTGTCGAAAGGCTTATGTTTGACAAGATTTTTTGCACTTTTTGAGAGTAGTTTAGAATTTCTGGATACTAAAGATAAAATTTTAAAAGAAAATTTAATGAAGAGGAAAACAGACATCGCCTATTTAACAGATTTGTTTACAAAATTTAATATGGCTAATTTGCAATTACAAGGCGACAGTTTAAATTTGATTAAAACAAAGTCCATCTTATCAGCGTTTCCTGCCAGAGTTAAACTAATGAAGCAAAATATTGGACGGGGCGAATTTTCTCAGTTCCCCAATTTGTCACAGATAAGCTGCCAGGAAGACGACGTTTCAACTTACGTTCAACATTTAAATGCCCTCTATTCAGATTTTGAATCTAGGTTTGAGGATATTTTGACTATGGTAATACCACCGTGGATAATTAATCCATATGGGGACATAGAAGAAACGTGTCTCATCGATCCTTTTCTAACCTCCTATCTAGAACGTTACATAATGCCAAACATGCTTATGAACGAAAACTCGTTACCTCCAAAAATAAGAAGAAGCTGTTTCGGTATCTAAGAACAAACCTGAATTCCAAAGTTTCATCACCTCAGATCCGCGACGCTGACGGTCATCTCCACATGGATGCCACCGAATCTGCCAACTTACTGGCAGAGTCCTTTAGTGATGACTTCGTCGATGAGCCTAATGGAGACCTTCTACCGACCACTATCTGCCATAGGTGTCCCAACAGCCTTTGCGAAGTTGAGTTCCTGCCTGAAGATGTATTAATGCACCTGCGAAATCTGAAGACCTCTTCCTCCCCTGGTAAAGATGGGATGACGGCTGCTGTACTTAAAAACTGCGCTTCAGCACTGGCCCTACCATTAAGCTTGATATTCACATCGTCTTTTAGATCTCATACCCTACCCTCATGCTGGCTTAGTGCTTCTGTTACTCCTGTATTCAAAAAGGGCGACAAATCCTCCGCTAAAAATTATCGACCAATAAGTCTCGTTCCTATCGCTGCCAAAATAGCTGAAAGAATCATATTAGATAAGCTCCAGTCATTTGCTTTCGAAAATGACCTTATCCCTAAGAATCAGCATGGATTTCTCCCTGGTCGATCAATAATGACCAACCTTCTCCACTCTCTCAACGATTGGACTCAGTATCTGGACACCAAGACTCCTGTTGATATAATCTACTTAGATTTTTCTAGGGCTTTCGATCGCGTACCACATAGAAGGCTTCTGTTTAAGTTGGAATGTATGGGAATAAGAGGCGAGTTGTTACTGTGGATTAAGGCTTTTCTCACCGGGAGGACTTTCTCTGTGCGCGTCAGTGATAGCCAGTCTCACCCTCATCATGTAGCAAGTGGAGTTCCTCAAGGCTCTGTCTTGGGGCCAGTGCTGTTCCTTCTGTATACCAGTGACCTGCCCGCATTGATTTCCTCCACATGTTCAGCTTATGCCGACGACACCAAGATTTACAATACTGTCGTAAATTCTGCTATGCTTCAACGAGATCTTGATACTGTTTGTCAATGGTCAGTCAGTTGGCTTTTACCCTTAAATCTAACCAAGTGTTGTGTCCTTCACCTCGGGAAGACAAATCCGCGATTTACATACAAGATCTCTGACCACAACATCGAAGCAGTTTCGAGCCACACTGATCTGGGCGTTGTAGTCAACGATCGTCTTTCCTGGTCAGAGCATATTCACCACGTTACATCAAAAGCCAAGAAACTTCTATATATGCTGGAGAGGTCTTTCAAAGGATCCGATGTCAAAACTTGCGCCTACATTTACAAGGCATTCGTGAGGCCAATTCTTGAATTCGCTGGCCCGGTATGGGACACTGTGCTTCTGCGCGATAGAAATCTCGTCGAATCAGTACAGCGTCGGGCTACTCGTATCCCTTTTGGAGCACGAAGACCAAGCTATGAAGATCGCCTTGAATTATTCAACCTAACCTCATTCTCTGAGCGAAGACTTCGTGGCGATCTTATAGTTACGTTCAGGATACTTCATGGTTTGATGGGCACCAACCTCATGCATCTATACCATCTGTCGCGCAGCAATCTACGCGGACACAGCTTCAAACTGCATAAGGAGCCATTTAAAACAACAGTCCGACAGTGGTTTCTTCCCAACCGCATACTCAACACCTGGAATAGCTTACCTGAAAGTGTGGTTGGTGCTACTTCAGTTAATAGCTTCAAAGTGCAGTATGATAGCTGGAGGAGTGTACAAACTTTATAGCTGTGAACTGTATTTTTTTATTTTTTTCTATTTGATGTATTTGTGTTACGTGTCCGTACACTATATTTACTGCATGAGCTTATAGTACTGTGTACTCTGCTCATCTCAATTATCATAATAATAATAATAATAATAATAATACAAGAGGAACTGACTGAACTAAGTACAGACGAAGAACTTAAGGTTCAGTTTAAAATCGGATATCAGCAATTCTGGCTGCAAAACAACATACCCGTTACTTATCCAGTATCATGGAATATAGCGAGGAAATTTTTAATTTCCTTTCCATCGTCATACCTAGTGGAAAGGGGGTTCAGCGCTGTTACCAATCTCCTAACGAAAAAAAGAAACAGACTGGACATCATTAGCCGAGGAGATTTCAGATTAACCCTTACAAAATTGACGCCAAATGTTGATAATTTATTATTAAAGCATCAGGTTCATCCTTCTCACTAAAAATATTGACTTATTGCTTATGTTATTTTATTTATAGTTTATGTTTATGTTTATTGGTGTCTGACCAATAAATGCCCGCATTGGGAATAAGTGCCCGCATTGATTTTTTAAAGAA